AGGCTACGATGTTCCTTAGGCTATAGTAAATATAGATTCAAGCAGCTACGATGTTCCTTAGGCTATAGTAAATATAGATTCTAGAGGCTACGATGTTCCTTAGGCTATAGTAAATATAGATTCTAGTGATTATAATGTTCCTTAGGCTATAGTAAATATAGATTCTAGTGATTATAATGTTCTTTAGGCTATAGTAAATATAGATTCTAGTGATTATAATGTTCCTTAGGCTATAGTAAATATAGATTCTAGAGGCTACGATGTTCCTTAGGTTATAGTAAATATAGATTCTAGCGGTTATGATGTTCTATGGATATGTTGCAGTTATTTACAGTCGAGCCTGTACGCATGCTCTAACTTCACTGAGCGACATGATAGCAAATGTTGTGATTTTCATCATCATTAACTTTTGTTCTACTGTCACCTGGTGGCAAAAAATAAAAGCCTTCAACATCTCCTTAGAGCAGTTTATACACTTACTCAAAATTGATTCATTGAGTCAAACAACACACAATAAACGAATCTTAAGAAGTTTAATTACTAACTGAAACTTCAGTTCCTTGAATTCAACAACTTTCAATGACTGAGCCCAAAGATATTCAAATACTTGGTTCGAATGTAATTCAATCAGCTCTATGTATATTAATCCTTGTGAGTTTTTAAGATATTAACGTATGTTAAATAGTTCTATTACCTATTCAAGGTTTATTAAGTTAAATTAAAGACGCATGTTAAACAGGTCTACTACCTATTTAACGTGTATTAACTTAAAGACTTCTACTACCTATTCAAAATATATAACCGGAACGCTAAATACTTACTTAAGACGGAGATAATGTAGTTATAGAGTCGCGCATCCGGGACGTTAGATGTCACGTTTCGTGCAACATCTGTGATTGTTGCCTGGTGGGTAAGACCAAGGATCATTAGGCCTAGTAAAAGCTGCTTCATAATTCTATATACAAACAGAATAGGAGTGTTCAGTACGTGTGGATATCATGAAGAATCGTGTCTTATCACACATCTATTTATATATTCCAGTGGAATTATTACTTTTCGTAACTGTAGAACCAGTACAAGAAAGAAGTCGAATATTTACTGGCTGACCCGATTTCTATATTTTATGGAGATTCGAACAAAGCCCTGACTTTAAGTTAGTTTATTTACTGACTTTAAATTAGTTTATTTACTGACTTTAATTTAGTTTATTTTCTGACTTTAAATTAGTCTATTTAGTGAATTTAAGTTAGTTTATTTACCGATTTGAAGTTAGTTTATTTAATGAATTTAAGTTAGTTTATTTAGGGAATTTAAGTTAGCATATTTACCGACATTAAGTTAGTTTATTTAGTGAATTTAAATTAGTTTATTTAGTGACTTTAAGTTGTTTATTTAGTGACTTTAAGTTAGTTTATTTAGTGACTTTAAGTTAGTTTATTTATTGAATTTAAGTTAGGAATAGGTAATAATACTAGGAATAGGTAATAATGTCAGGAACATCTAATAATTAGTTATACTAGTTATAATAGTAACAATAGGTAATAATGTCAGAAATAGATAATAATAATACTAGGAATAGGTAATAATGTCAGGAACATCTAATAATTAGTTATACTAGTTATAATAGTAACAATAGGTAATAATACTAGGAATAGGTAATAATGTCAGAAATAGATAATAATAATACTAGGAATAGGTAATAATGTCAGGAACATCTA